GGCGCGCGGAGGGGGGAAAGAGAGGGGGAAAGAGAGGGGCAAACAATCGGGGAACGAATAAAGCAAATTGGTTCACAACCTGGCAGACCCTGCGACTTTAGTGCGCTCTCTGATTGGAAGGAGCAAACTACCGCGCTTTATACGGGGCTGTAATCATCAGCGGGGGCGTGCCGGTACTTGCATGGCTGTTTTCCTCCGTTTGTGGGGGTTATCTGACGACGGAGACGAAGTTGTGGATTTGTGGTTCGATTTGGGTGTTTTTTGTTTCTTCTCTGCCGTATTCTTCGTCCTATACCTTAGTAAACATGCCATAAATACACGGTTCATCGTCTTCCAGTACGTTGTGTACTACACGTTCAACAAAGTTGTTGCGATGTATCTCTTGTTTTCAAGGGAGGACAGGCTAGCGGACGGCCGTGTTGGCCAAACTCTGCGTGCTCCACTGTGCCGAATTTTGTCAGATAACGATTTTCCGGTACAGTAGTAGGGTTCCAACGCTTGGCATAGCTTTGTCAAATTGTTCCATTTGCCAAGGTGGTGCGGCGGTAACCGTGTTTGAAGATAGAACGAGAGTACGCTAACTGCCGTGTTTGACTCTTTTCAGCAGTTTTCCTAGGACGCCAGTGTATGTAAAACTATGTAGAGGCTGTCCGTCATTCGAAGTTGGGTAGACACCGAAGGCAATTATTGTTTGATAGCAACAGAGCGTGTGCCGATCGCCTACGTCGCGCCATTGAGCCGATCTCCATTTAGAGGTTCCTTTTGACACATCGTTCATGTTGTCACACGTGTCTTCTTCGTGAAACGCACATGGAATTGGGGATTGGGGATTGGGAGAGTTGCAACTTGCCGTACTTTCACGAACGAGTGTTTTTGTTTTCTCTTCACGCATCTTAGCTTGCACGAACGCTTTCCCTTTGTTAGCCGAAACGTGCATTCCGTCTTCTGGGCTGGGCTGGGCTGGGCTGGGCTGGACTGGGCTACATCTGTTCGGATTTCGGTCGCGCCAGTTGTTGAGAAGCTGAAGGTCGATTTATACCAGTCGACGAGGGGTATTCGTGCGGCCAAATACGAGCTCTCGTTGGGCGGCTCCTCGACCGACTCCCGCGATATTCCCGATGCTGCGATGTAGTTCATGCACCTTTTCCACGTCAGTCTCCCCCGTTTAGTCACACTCTCGTGCAGCCTTCCAGCGGACGCGAATATTTCACAGACCCTAGCTAAACTGACGCTTTTGATCGCCTTGGATATGCCCATCACACAGACAAACCCAGAACCGGGGGGCAAGGCACAGGGCTCCCGTTCGCGGGGGAGAATTTTACGGCGAAAACACCACACAAAAAAAGGAAATACCTGGGCTTGCCTTCCCCATACTTATTCGGGGTTTGGTCGCAGCTCTTTTGCCTCGAATCGCATCGTTCGTTTTCCTTTTGTAAAGAAGTCTTTCCAAAATCCTAAATTTTACTACATCATAGACACCTGCTTGGGTGAAACCCCGAACGAAGTATCCCCCGGCGTAGCAGAAGCCCGCAGAGACGTTGCTGCGCTGTCTCTGACAGGGGGGACGCCTTGTCTTCCACGCTGGTATTCGAGAGTTCGAGAGAGGCTACTTTCTGTTCTCGTTATCGCCAAAACAGCATTGGGGCTCAGTGATCGTGTTTGGATTTGTACAACAATAGCCCACCCAGTACATCTCTCTCCCTCTCTTCTTTCTTCTCTGTGCCTACATCCCCATTGAATTGGGTCAATGTACATTAGTTGAAGCCACGTGCTCGAAGTACTTCGTTCGATGTCTCGTACGCTGATTCCGTGATGTCTACTCGATGTTTATTCGATTTCAGTTTCACTCATCATTCGATGGTCCGCGTGAATATCCGTACGTATACGCCATGATGTCAGGATGTTGTAGAAGTACGCACAAAGCGGCTTTGAAATTATTATTTCACGAGAGGTTTTCATGAAATGAAGAGCTGGAAGTTAGAATGATAGTGAGCATTGCGGTTCGCTATGGCTCTTCACACCGCTGTTGTGTGCACGAATGACATGCGGTTTCAGCGAACACGGCCAGTACCCTCCTCTGGACCGCATGAGACAGGACCTTGTGGTAGGTTGGACACAAAAAACGCGGACTGGCTAGCACCGCGTTGGAAATTCGCCCACGAAGCTGCCTCAAGTATAGACGTTTCTTTTTTATTGGAAACAGGAACTTTTAATTGGTATCGTTCAGGTAAATAGAGGTTGATAGAACCGAATGTTCTGTCAAACTCATCCTACTATTCCTTTTTACATCACACCCTCTTGCACATCCTTACAACAAGCGCGGAGAAAAAGGAAGAGAACGGGTTCGAGATGGGGCAAGGGGGTACCATCCCAGCACAAGACACGAAAGTCTTGCAGCGTAGAACACTTCCCTTCTACAATAGCGATGTCGTGTGGAACATATCATCACATAGTCTAGAGGTTCCACCTTCGGAACAAGTTCCCGTGTTACTGCCAATATGTCAACAGAGAAATCGACATGCTCCGTCAGAAACTACAAGAAGACACAGTACACAAGAGCTGTTGCTTTGTCAGAACAGGGATGGCACCGCATTGCTGGCGGCAAAAAAAACTGGCACGTCCTTTGTTGCGACATATCGGACAAACCGCTCGTTGGTTTTCCAATGCCAAGCGAAGTAGACGACATCGCGAGAATGCCTGTTCAGACATCCTCCAAATATGTACATGTGTGAAGCCCTTTCCGATCCAGATGAATCCCGTACCTTCGTGGAACGCCAGAGAAAACACGGTATTAATAGTTGCATATAACGGGAGTGGCGCATTCCTCAAACATGTTGCACTACACGCCCATCATGCAAACGAGCTTGTGACTTCTCCACGAGCACGTTTCCACACGACACGGCTACACGGCTTCTCCTACCCGGGCCATGACAGCACGGCCAATACCGACTACCCCGCTAACCCACAATATTCTTAAATTTCGCCGAATGCCATGTATGACGCATTCATCAGGACCTCGCCCGCGTAGCTCCACACCAGAAACACAAAACAAGAGACAATGCCACCCCCTAAGGCTTCCAGGTTGAAACCCCCCGCCAAGTTTTCACGTCCAACCTCGCCCTTTTCTACACCTCGCCAACACCAGTCACAGAAGAACAAAAAAAAAACGGAGCCTCACGCCCCTCTCCTCCCTCTCCGCTTCGTCCCCAGTCCACAAAAAAAACGCTTTCAACGCCCGTCATCGGGTTCGTGTCCACCCAACACCGCGCCCCTTCTTAGCGTTGTGAGCAGCCAGGCCCGATTGCTGCTGCGGCCACCCTCGCCGCGCGTGCGTCCCTCCGCCGCCCCTCGCTCCCGAAACGGTTTCCGAACCAAGCCCAACCACGACGTCGGGTGCCGGGGTGCCCTGCTGCCAACCGCTCGCCCCCCCGACACCGCCGCCACCTGTCTCCATCGCCCCCTGCGGATGAGCCGCCCCCTTGTGAGCGCTGGTCGGGTCTGTGATGGTGGTAACGTCGCCGGCCGCGGGCTCGTCGTCTTCCCTCACGGCTCGCCGGGACGACAGGCACGAGCAGGTCAACAGGCTCGACAAGAAACGCCGGAACTTTCCGGGCTTTTTCCCGCCCACCCCGATGGCCGAAGCCTCCGCGGCGCTCCCCCTCAGGCTGGACGCCCCCCCTCCGCCCACTCCCACGCCCGCCGCGTCCGGAGACGCCACGGTCTCTGGACAGGGGAAGAGGGCCAGAAAGTGGTTGCCGTTAGCCAGCTGTCTGCCTGGCTTGAGGTTTGGGAATCTGTTGGTCCGATTGGTTTGCGAGGCGCCGGAGCGGAGGGAAAGGGTTTGAGTCAGCGCGTCAACATGCCATGGAAGTGTCGCGCACAATACCCTTGTCCCGACCGGGCTGGGTGTCATACAACAGCAAATAAGTCCAGGAACTATCTCGCCTTGGCCTCAACCATTCAGTAGGACAACTTGTGCAAACTTATATCAAGGAATCGCGTGACACATGGCATCAGGCAAGGCGGCCTCTTCCTCATGTACGAACATGCGACTCAAACCCACACTTCGCTTCAACACTGATGACACCAACATAAGCGCCTGATGATACCCCGTAAGCTTTCGATACGTTTGTGCAGCCAAGCTTCCCCTCGCCGTTACGTGCTCCCAACCCCTTACTGCCTACAGTATATTATGCCGATAATGTGGTAGCAAGGAAAATCATAGCATGGAGCTTTCAATGGCTACCCTAGCGAAGTATTAAAGAATCGCCTCAAACGCTTCGTACCTAGAGTCTGCGGAGAGAATGTGTATCGCTTGCTTGTCGTCGAAAGAAGGGGACCCGAAGCAAGCCATCCTTCGGAAGCAAAAGCTGCCAGGACAGGACAGAACCACGAGCAGAAGCCACGGCATACGGCCGCCCCCAAGACGCCGGAAAAGGAGCGGAGAGGGGATGCCGTCAAGAGACAGATGAGCGAGATAGAAGCAGGGGCCATCGGGAAGGCGACACACGGGGTGGGAGAAAGGCATTGGGAAGAGAGGAAGAGCCGATGAATGATACAATGTAGTATGAACGAAATGGTCACGTCCACTCAGTGTGGCTGTCTGACGGCGACGTTCCCATGCATTATGCTAACATGTGGGTCCACACCGAACGACTCAATTCAGGCAAGGAAACAGGGCGGCAAGGGCGGGAACACGAACGGGAGAGCATCCATGAAGGGACCTCGAAACAAGTTCCAAAAATAAAAGGCAGCCGGCACATCGAAACGAAGAGCGGTCGCGGCGTGCAGCAGCGAACGGAGGCAAATACCCCTTCTGCCGACAGACGACCTTGATGGCAACCCGCGTGTGGCCGCAATCCAACATACGGGATCCAGACAGAAAAACGAGCAGTGCCCGTGTGCGGATCAGCACATACCCTAGGGCGGATCCCAACACGCAAAAATACACAAATTGAGCACATGCGACGCAGAGAGAGAATCACCATACGCCGAAGACACACCAACAGACGTCAGGACATTGGTCAGGGTAGCAAAAAACAAAACGCACAACACAAAGGGTACCCACCTTACACCATTAGAGGCTAGCTCATACACGTGGATGGGTCGACAAAGAGCATTGGACAGGGCCACGATCTCCGGCCCGCCCCCCCACACACTGGACTGTCGCATCACCTTGAGGTCACGACAACGATATCACACAAGCACGCACGTTATTGTGATGCGTCATGAGCACCCCGGGAAACCGTTGTTGAGCCAAACATGAAAAATGGACGCGTGCGAAATGTGGCTGGCAGTGGTGCCGGCACGTCCATCACACGCGCAAGTGATGAACACACACGAATCACTCAATCGACAGTGACCAACAGCAGCTGCTCGACAAACTATGTTGAACAGCAGTAGTCCCACCGCTCCTCGAGCAACACCAGACCGCGAGGGGGTTGCCGCTTTACCGCAGGCGACATTACAACGGCGGACTTCTGAAGGCAACAACAATACACACGTCGGCGGCGACTGTCACCACGATGTACCGTTACACAGCTATTGTGGGGAGGCGCGCGGCTTCTCACCTCGCAGTAGTGCTCGGCGGTCATGTTGTACTGCGCGGCCACGACGCTGAGAAGCTCGTACACCGGAACGCTCTCCTCCTTCTCAAGGTAGAGAGTTTTCTTCAGGTTGTCCACCAGGTAGTCCACCGCAACCTGCGTGCGTTTTGGCAAGTTGACCGAGTGGTTTCGTCATATTACTTTGAGGAAAGAGTACCGACACACTTCGCCAGAACACGCCCTTGTCCCGGTATGCAAGGCAAACTCCACAAAAACAAGTCGCTTGCGCACCTTCCTGAGTGCGGCGGACTTGGGCATCAGCTCGCTCAAGTCTAAGCTGGGGTGCGTACCGTTGCAGGCGTGGTCGAGGCACGCGGAGATCGCGTGGAAGAGACAGTTACCATCTCCGGGTACCTGTCTTCGACGAAAACAAGGAAGGCAAAGCACCGAAAAAGAAAAGTGGTGTAAGTCAAGGTTTGGCGGAGGATTGCTTAGTGTGCGATTCCTGGACGTCGGTCTGTTCTGAAGCAGCCTGTGTTTTTCTCGTGTAATATATAAATACACATGTACGTCATGAGACGTGACACATGGCAAGTGCGGACAACCCTGCAGCTTCGTCGTCGCCGTCGAAAACAACCAGGATCTGCCTTCCAATACACAGCGAACGGCTCTACGGTGCCAGGGCGCACTCCCTGAGCGCGAAAATTTTCTCGGTTAGGTGCCCTCCATTCCGCCGTGAAGCTTCCCCCCGCACACACAATACCATACGGGAGCCGATGCCTTCTGCGATGGCATGGAGTATTGTCGCTTCCTCGGACACCCACGTCATTCTCCCTCCGGGGCACCCACCTGTCGGACCGCCATATTGGTGGAAATCCCCTGCACGGCGAAGCTGTCCGTCAAGAACCCGTCACGCTTGATCTTGGCAGAGTGTCGCCATATCGACGACAGCCCAGCGAAGCAGCTCGCTGCACAAAGCACACGCAAGCGCGAGTGCGAGGGAACGGGGGCAAACCTGATAGATATACTTGTAGTGATGCCAAGTGGATGGTATGGGATGTTCCCATGGAATGAGGTAGAGCGGAATACCGGGTGATTTGTGTGGTACGTAGAATGGATTTCCAGGGATGTACAAGGTACCCCTGTTGTATACGGCGTCGCCCCCTTAACGGGGCTTGTGTGTGGATGCAACTAATCACAACAAGTTTTTCTCCTCGGCGCGATCCCGCCGAGGTGCCGACACCCTATTCAACACACGTCTTGCGACAAGCTACCCCCAATTCGCATCTTCCTAACAAAGCCAATGCTGTCAAATCTCGGACTGCCATGCGTGTGGAGGGGGGCACGGTTTGGAAGCTGACCAACAGACCAAATCGGGGAATTGTTGTGTGCACAACTGCTGTGCGCACAGCTCCACAAATGCCATATAAAGGGTGGGGATCAGGTCAGTCCAGCGTGTTTTTTGCAAGACTACACGCATCAGTCGTTGTGGGGGTTCGTCACAAGGAGATCGATTCCTCCCGCAAGGGTTACGCTCTGCGATGCCCCGATGCCTAATTTCTCGCCATCTGTTGGAGACTACAAGCACTGCCACATGGATGCCTACTAATACCTCGATAACGCGCCGGTAGTCCCCCCCCCCACAAAAAAGAACGCTTCCGATGTTGCGTGGATTCAGCTACGAAAGAAAACGGCTGCTGTTTTGGACGCCATGTACCGAGGTAGCTGCATGACTACCTGATGACGACGTGCATACTTGAATCAGTTATTCGAGCAAATCAGTAGCACGGCCCAAGGACCTTTTGGTAATTGCTACCTTGCTATAGAGTGAAGCACATCTAACGAGGGCAATCTTGCTACTGCTGTGAGTACACGATCGGACATGTTGATGGGGGAGGCGAAGGCGGGCAGATGTTGAACGTTGGCTACAAACGCTGCCTGGGGCGCTCTAAGCTCAGCCTTCCACGTTGAGAATGGACAGAGATGCCTACGCTTGAAACAAATGTCAACATTGAACAACACCGACCCTGGCCGTTTGTCAATCGACGGAGCGACCGCAAGTGTCCAAACGCAAAATCACATGATATGCTATCATGCGTGGCATAGACCACCGTATGTTCGGCCTTCCACACGGCCTACAACAGTAATAGGAACAACCCACCGCCGGGTGAAGGCTGGTGAGGGCGCGTGTTGCCCTCGTTGCAGAAAAATAGCCCCCCTCTCATGCAGGGGTTGCATCGTCCTACGTGTTTGTGCTGCCTACACATGCATTTTACCAGCACAACGTAGCAGGAGGTCGACACCACGAACAACCACGTGTCATAGCCCCACACCCCGAACCTGGACCTCATGTCTCTCAACGGGTCTCTCAAACCCGTAAGGTGAACGCTTGCACCCATGGGCATGGCGTGAGGTCCACCATGTCAAATGTGTCAACGACTTTTCCTCTCTCTCGCCGTATTGCACAGCAAACGCACGTTACACCCACCTGGCAAGAGTAAAGCCGACACGAGGGCTGCGGTGATCTTCATCACGGTCACAAGCCAGGGCAACAACAACGCACAACGCGCGAAGCTGCCGTGCTGTGGTATTGATCATCGCCGTCGCGCCGCCGCCCAACGCCGCGCCACCGGGGGACACGCAGAGTGGCTAGAAAACGAAGGCCGGGTACGGCACCATGCACCCGGTAGCCCGTACCCCCACGGGGCCGGTCGAAACTGTCCTGGTGCTGTGTTGTGCTGCTGTTTCTCGCTCCTCTTGCCTCTCGCTCGCCCCAGCCTGTGTAGCCCACGCCCTCTCTAGCACCTTCTACTGTGAAGCAGACGTCACCCTGGTGCAGCGGTGGGCGGTGAGCCGAAAAATCGCCTGGAAAACCCTGGATTTATCGCAGGTATGGCGTGGCTCCAAGTCCGACCTTACGTGGCTCCCAGGGCGGCTTGCGTCACAGCAGTGGTGCTGGCTCTCCAGGCGATGCTTGCCTGTGGCTTTGGCCCCTCCACCTGGATGGTTCCGAGGAAATGTGACACGGAGTCTCTGCGTCGTGGTGGGAGCTGGCCGGAGTGGGGATCTCGTGAGCTGGCCCAGCAAGGTCGCCCTTCCGCAGATCATATTGCGAATGTCGCTGGTGAGACATGCTTCGCGTGCGGCTTCTTTTGTTCTCTGCTGTATTTGGCTTTTCAAAATGATCGTCCCAGAGACACAAATGCTTGGGTTGAGTGACCGGTGATAGAGCAGCAGCTTTCCTGTGCTGAAAGGCTGGTAGCCAGCAAGGCGTGTGTGACTCGCTCCGTAGTCGCAGTGTCGACTTGTATCTCTTCATTCGCGCTTGAAAATGGACATGGCTCTGCGCATGATGTGGGTCGAATTCATCGTATTGGTCTGAGCGACAGACTGACATCAGTATCATTCAGACCTGGGAACGCACTTTCCAGCAAGGCATGTAAGCTCGATGGCACATGGCTTAGCTGTGGAGTCACGGGTAGGGGTAGGGGAGGGAACGGGGGGTGATCGCTAGGCACCATCTCACACAGCAGCGGGATCGGGTGTCGAAGAACAACGTGCAGCGAGTCGTGCGTGGAATTTGTTCTCACAGCGTCCCGGCAAACGAAATCAAGCACGCGCCATCGTGACTTCAAGCGGAGCGACGCTCTTTGGTCCTCATGTGTGCTATCCCCACCACATGCCCAATTGACTCAGGCTCAAAAGACGTTGCTGTTGGTCGCAATCGGTGAGCGAACAGCTGCGCAGGTCTGCTGTTGGACCCCCGTAGAATCAAAAATGAAGAGCAAACTAAAACTTCCGAAAAGCCTGGGGACGTAAGCTTGTGTCACCATGCGCACTGCCTGTGGGTGGATATATTCTTCGAAGTAACGATGTCTGGTTGTCGCGACCGCCGCCTTGAAAGGGGTATGGTTAGGTATGGTACATAGCTGTGTTCGGATCTTGGTGCGTATGCCTCTGAACAGCTCTTCTGTGCCATTCGTTCAACGCGAGAGGTTGCGAAAAACTCCCATGCCGAATTTTTCTGCAAGTGCTGTTCTACCTCTATTTAGTCTAAACAACATAACATTGTCGTTGCTGTCTTCCCCTCAAGTTTCAAAAAGACTCTTTTCTATGATAGAGATGGTTTCGTTGTGTCATATTAAGAAAAAAAAAAAAAACATATCGTAGAAACTATTTTTTCTTCTGATACGGAAGAATATTGTCCTGGCACGGATCCCCTCTACCTCGCTTTGCCGTAGGAAAGCACACGTTTGTTGCAAGAGCTCCACTAAGTCAGGTGAAATATCTAGCCACCACATGACTTGTCTTGTTGGGTACCAAGCTGTGTCTGGTTTGTCAGTGGGAGATTGACATGCTTGGCTCAAGTAGACAAGCTCCCCTGACTTTTTAAAATATGTTCGGAGGTGGACGCAGTTGGTGCTGATATATCTTGGAGGTGGACTTATGTGCCGTTTTGGGGAGCTGCCAAGTCGAGGTCTGGGCAATTAGTGTCGGAACTGGCTGAATTCACGACCCAAGACCTGGGCTCCAGACGAGCGAAAAACATCAAACAATCCAGCAAGGGGTCCCAGAGAATTGTGACGGGTGTACCTGGTAGACAGCCGTATTTTGTGTTCTCTATTTGCTCATTTCGTGGGGAGGAGCAGTTACGAGCGGCACGGTTGGGAACGAGGAGGAAGCTAATACACCAAGCCCGCCCGCCCCGGCTGATTTTGTCTCTCCTCCCCCGCCATGGGCTAGGATAGACGGGCTACAGCAGGTAGGGAGTACAATTTGAGTAAGATTTGATCCACCTCTGGCCAAGTAGAAAGCAACGATTGGCCATCGGCGATCGGTCCTGTGGGAACAATGCTCCGTCCTCTCGAGGACGCGTGGTCAATGGTTCAACCGCTAAGGCACGCAAAACATGAGCACGCCCCCTCCCCGCCGCCATGGGCACTGTGACTTCCCTGCCCGCAAGCAGGCAAGCGAAAGCGGCGGGTTCGGATGATGTCGGCCGTCGAAGCTGGCGCCGCGGGCATGAACAACGACGCGGGGATGCTGGGCGGGGGACGAGCAGCGGCGAGTGGCTCGGGGAGCAAGAAGAAGGATCCAGGTGCGGGGGCAATGGACCCCGTGGTCACTGAGGCGGACGAAGTCGACTACTACGCGGCGCTTGGTCTCAAGGTCGGCGCCACTCCCACGGAGATCAAGGTGCGTGACCTGAATGCGTGTAGACGTTACGCACCGCTTGTTTTAGCCTTTTGGAGCACATGAATAGCTCTGTCAGTTTCCGCTTACGTTGGCATGGGCCACAGCGCCCGGGAGTATGACATCCAAGATACCACCTCTAGATTTGCTTCTGTGGGTGGTTCCTCTGTGATGCTGCATGCGTAATGTAATGGTTGGCACGGTTGTGGGGCATGTGTGTTTGCATGGCGTTGTCGGCTGAGCCTTCCTACAGCCTTCTGTGCCTTAACAGTGGACGTGAGTTTCTCACAGCAGGCTTCTCTCTCTCTCTCTCTCTCTCTCTCTCTCTCTCTCTCTCTCTCTCTCTCTTGTCGCGTGCGCGCGTTTGTCCACACCAGAACGCTTACCGGAAGATTGCAATGCGAGTCCACCCGGACACAAAGGACGGGATCAACAACAGAGATATCTTCGAGTCCACCACGGCAGCTTACGAGGTCTTGTCCGACCCGGGGAAGAAGTCCACCTACGATCAGGCACGTTTTGGTTTTTGATTGCCTTGTGCCTTATGGTTGGATTTCAACGCTCCGGCAAGGCCCTCGAAAGGCTGTGAACAGAGCACATCATTATCGCTACACCCGTGCATTCCTAACTCTTACAACAGCGGTGTGCACAACGTCGATAAAGGTCAATACTCGGGACTCTCTTTCGACGTTGTTTCTCCTCCCCAGTTCGGTAGGGTTTTTTGTTAGACAATCCGAGTGTATCTGCCCCCTCAGAGCGAACGGTGCACTCTCTCTTAGAAAGTAACATAAAACAAGGAAAGACTATCGTTTGCGGTATCACCACAGTCGGAGGGGATGGATCTTCCCCGCAGGCTCTCTTCCGCATCCCACAAACGTAAACCGTAGCCCCGACCCCGGTTTTTACCGTGGGACGTGCCGACGGTGTCTCTCGAATACAGGGGTTGGCGATGAGGAGCTTCGTGGACAAGGTCAAGGCCGGTAAGTGGGGGAACGTGATGTCGGCGGTGGCGAGCCTCGGGGCTGCTGCGACATCCGTTGGGGTTTCCGCCGGGGTGGCGGCGGCGGAACCTTTGGCGAAAGACCTGGCCCGCGGTTTGGAGGAGCTGACCGGTTCCGTGGAGGTGAGATTTGATGTACAGTATTCCACGCAAGATAACCCCCCCCCCCCGCGCGCGCGCTTGGTGATGTGAGAGCCTGGTCCGGTGAGAACCCGGCGTGCTCCTTCCCGGGTTTGTAGGGATGCGAGGTCAATGGTCTAACGACTACGGCATGCACCACTATGAGTACCCCCCCCCCCCCCCCCGGAAGAAAACAATGAGCTCTGTGTGGGGGGGATGGGATCTTCC